CTTATTTATTCCAATTCTTTACTCACGTGACTTCATTTTTTTAGGCATGTATAGGGTGTGTTGTTATAAAAGAAAGCTTGGTCTCGTTTTAGAAAGATGAGACAATCTCATGGTTAGGAAAAAGGCATTACCTTAAGGGTTTATGAGATTAAAAAAAAAAGTTCTTAGAAACCTGATTTTGTTCACTTTATGATGTCTTGCTTTTATTTTCTTAACTGCAGATTATATTTGACAAGAATAAGTTTTTAATTGTGGGGTAAATCTTGTTGAAGTATTTGTTGTTTCTTTTTGGTTTTGTTATCATGTAAAACCATTGGTAGAGGAAAGAAAGGTAGTTCATGAGTTTAACAAGGACAAACTTTTTGGCAACTAGAAATTACCTATGTAAGTCTTCTTTAAAGTTTTGGTTATGGTAAGCTCTTATGCATAGTTCCATATAGTAAAGCATGGAAGATTACATGATACCTTTTGGGAGAAGAGAGTATTTAAAATTATTTTCCATATAAGTGAAAATGTTAGTAAGGCATAACCTTTTTTTTTCTTGATAGCCTAGTTTTATATAAAAAGAACATATTTAGTCCTTACTATTCAACACCCAAAACATGGAAAAGAATGTCACTTGTATATGGTGATTTGCCTATAAAGAAGGGCATATTAGTGTCAGTTAGATATTTTTTTTATTTTTTTTAATTGTAACATGGTATAAGATCATCTAAAGTTTTTGTTTCCTTAAGTCATGTAATGGGATAGTGGCAATAGAGTTTTAAGAGTTGTAGGTGATGCGAACTTTGTGATCACATGGTCACGCAACTCATAAGCAAAGACATCAATTCCTGGAAAGCCAAGTAAATCAGGTTTGATAGGAGTGTGACACAAAGATAACTTGTACCTAGGCACTAGCACTATTAGAAACGGAAAAACCCGCACCTAACGAATATTGATTCGTGAACGAGAAGTATAGGGATGACGCCACGAAGATGGTTGTTCTTTGATAAGTTGTTTTTCGGTTCTTTAGAGAACTATGGAAGGGAGATTATCTCACCAACACACACAAAGTGTGACAAACAAGAAATTTTATTAATCTGAATTCTCTTTTACATGTTTGGTTATGCCTCTATTTATAGACTCTAGACTTAAAGAAACCCTAATGGACCCCCCTTAGGTGGACTTATATGTAG